TACGAATCGTCGAGACCGCAATTTTCACCGGGCGGCTGTAATTAAACGTTACTAAAACTGGATAATTGATTGGACGCGGGCAGGGACACGGGATCGGCAATATTGGCTGTCGGTCGAATACATCGGGACCATAAATCGAACGAATATCCGTACATGTATATAAACATACACTTTATTATGATAATTTATAATTGCATCGTATTCACAATGAATATGCGCAATAACGTATTGTAATTAGATGTACAAACTGGTCTATGGAGTAATAACCTAGACTAATCAAGTTCCGCGGCTAATTATATACGGCCCACGTTCGATGATTCCGCGTCGATCATCGACACCGATCGGATCGCATCGAATCGATCCTGTTGCTTTCAGCCCCCATAGGACCACAACCCTTTATCGATTATCTCGACGTTCAGCTACACCGATGACGATCGTCGAGTTCCGCCGATCGACGCGGAATCTCTTCGCGCTGGTTCGCCATCATCGTCTTCCAACGACGATCGACCGTCGGCCATGATGAAACGATGAATCCTGCCAATCAATAACTTTTGCCCGGTTCAGAGGAAAACTGCGAAACTAACAGGAAAATGTTGTTTCGGACGCTCTGGATTTCCTTTAAATTCTGCGATCCTCGACGAAACATTGGTAGGAACTGAATTGTTTCTGGCGATCCGACGACGAAGCACGGAACACGTCGTCGGATAATCCGATTTCACGGGTGTGAATAAAAAAGAAAAAAGACAAATAGGGAAAAAACTCGAGCCATTTCGTATATCGTTGGTCTTTCCTTTTTTGTTCTGCTCTGTTCGCGCAGCTGCGTAGTATCGCACCAGGGTCCTCCAACTTTGTAAAGCTTTCGTTCCAGTTAAACGTAAACAGTAGATAAACAAACGCGAATGAGAAACAATCGCGAAATTTTATTCTGCATCGGTGGATCCTTGTGAGGTTTTGGAAAAGTAGCTATATTTTCTTTCTTTCTGTATTCTTGTCTCTTTATTCGTGTATGTTGTACTGTACACAGTAAGCGATGAACAACCTCGTCTCCTTTGCCCCCCTTTTAATTCGCTGAGCAATTTATTGTAACAATTTCAGTACCGTTTTTTTCCGGTAGTAAAGCATAGGTATATGTATACTTTTCCGTGTACTATTCGTTACCCGATAATAAAATAACGTTTACATCGTCGTCTCGAGAGATTAGATGTATCACTTAATTACATCGATCTAGTCGCGACAACGTCTCGAATGGAACGTCCTGGTCGGTTCGTCGAAAGTTCAGTCGTCCTGATTTATTGCGCACAGATCTCAACATTGAAAACATTACAGACAATTGTTGCATGAAACGAAAGCGTAAATAGTACGTTTCGCTGAAGTTATTAAGGGTATTAGCCTCGTGTGCGGTCACAAGGTGTTGCGTATTCGTTTAATTAAATCCACGACTAATTAGGGGCACGCATTATTTAAGAACATTACGAACAAATACAAGAAAATTTCGACAGTTCTATATTGACATAGAAAACCGATCTGGAAACGTTGCCAACCCATCTGTCACGCTCGAGTATGCATATCCACGCATCGAAGTCACTGTAACTTCCATTCACAAAAGTTATGACTTCCGCAGCGATTCTATAAATCAGAACCCCGAAAACAAAACTATTCCGATAATATACGATCAAATCATTCCAAATTCTTTCGAATACCAACCTTTATAAAACCAACTATTACATATATGAAACAAAGAAATTTCGGAATAATATCCATATACTGTATTATTACATATATAAAAGCAAGAAATTTCAGGATAATATTCATATACTGTACTATTACATCAGGAGTCTCTGAAACGACTTACTGCTCACCATTCACGCAACACCCAAATATACTCGAAATCTAATCGAAGCACCGTCGATACTCGTGCGCGGTAGCTCAGTTAAAAAAATATTTCATCTCGAACGAATTTCAACGGTTCGCGCTATCCCATCGATCCCGTCGTTCTTCGACCGCTGTCCAAGGTCCTCCCTCGGAAAAAATTTCCGTGGGGCGAATGTCCGCGTGGCCAATGACAGTCTCCTTCGTATCGTTACCAACGTGCTTCGATTCAAAGATTTTCGACGAGGTAAGACGGTCAGCGCAGGTGGAGGGGGGTTATAGGGGAACAGAACGTACACACGTAGCGACGCAAACGTTGACCATAAATTCGCGTCACGTCCTCGTATTTGACATCCTTGAATCTCACTCGGGGCTTCGATATCGCAGCCCACGTATGACTCTATTTTCTAAAGTTTCCAGGTGAGGGTAGGTACGACTGATTTGCGCACGTGATCATCCGTTCACCAGAACGCTCCAATCGAGCCGGTGGCGCACACACCGTTATTACTTGAACGTTAATCGTAGGAGAGAATTTCAATAAGCATCGCCGAACGTTTCGATGTTTCAACGGGTTCCTTTTTTTTTTTTCTTTAGTGTACAGGGTATATACATTGGTCTTCCATTAAGTTTTGGCAACGTTTCGGTCGAGCGTTCGTTCGAAGCGAGGATTTACGGGCCAGAGACAGGCGTGTATATGTGTGTTCGATGGATGAAACGACCCGAAACGAAAATGGGACGGAGGGAACGTTCTGCGTCACTTTCGACCTCGTTTAAACAAGAAACTCCTGGTTCCGATACTCGTGGACTCGGAAAGATACGTAAAAGAATTTTCTGTCGATCGAGATTGATTTTAATCAAAGCACATTTAACTGTGTCGTGGAAAGATAACGAATTTTTTTGCTTTGAGGGACATATTTCTGGAGTTTTAATCGAAGTTTCTCGTCTCCTCCAGTGATAGCTGTATTTTTGCTGGTTGAACTAACCGACGGTGGTAATAGAATAATCGTTGGATTAGCTTGTAATTTGGAAGATTTCATACGCGTGAATATAAGATCCCGATAAATTATGCTGACAATCTGTTTACCAAAATTAGAGTACCATCCGTGCTTCACTTGACCGTCGCGTGCACAAATTGAAAGTGATTATCCGATAATTTCAGGACACTGATTATATATGACCTTCAACGGACACCGGCCGTAAGAGTGATTACCTTGAAGCATGTTAAATTAGTAGCTAAATCACCCAACATAATGGAAGCAATTTCAACTACCGGATACCAACGGAATTTTACTGCTTCGTCGTTTGCGTTGGCGCGTTACTGGGATATTTCAACACCGTTTCGACCATCGTAAACACTTGCATAACGATCAAAGAATTCTCATTCGATAGAAAATGTTACATAATTCAGCAAAATAATAACCATTATCGTTTTTCATTTCGTAATGAGTATCTGTTAAATTTGATCACGTTATAATTATCTTCGAACGAACCGTACTGAATAGTTAACAAACTCCTACCATTTTCCAATGTTGTTAATCAAGGAGGACACCTTTAAAACCACAAGCATTGGTATTCATTTTTTTACTTAGCACCGTATAAATCGCGCTTCCATCGTCTCCGGAAACGTTGCCGAACAAAGCTCATCGAAGAATGACGTTACCTTATCATAACCATCGTAATCGTTTCCATAGTTGATTTTCTTACAAAAAGCCATACCAAACGGCCAGAATCGGCGGTTACGTTCATTACGCTAAGATTGGCACCGTGTAGTGTACGCGCGTCGAGAGCCACGTGTCTGGCGGATCAGAGAGAGACACGCGAGAATACGATCCAACCGTAGACGATCGCGACGATTTCGGTTCGACGTTTCGGCGCACAGCGTTCCACCGTCTCGATGTCTCTCAACGATCCGGCACAATTATCAGAGCCACGTCCTTCGTCCTCCGTTACGACAGAGATTAAAAGCCACGAAAGGGGACACTTGAATCCTGGTAACAACAAAAATCATTGAGAGACATCGTTCGCCGCGTAGTCGCGGATCGATCGACACATGATTCCGTATTTACATCTCGACGAGTCATCCTCGCGATTCAAGTACATCTCGCCACGAAGGTCGCGCCTCTGTCTCGTAGGAACGAAGATGAAAGAAAAAATATTCTTCGGAACGATGCTTCGGCGGGGAAGAAAAAGCGCGTCCAGATTGCCCCCCCCGTGACCGTGTTATTATCGCTGGCATCGATTCGCGCGTTCTCGAACCGTTTCCCCAGCGCGTCCCGACTCTATCGATCCGGCATCTACATTCCCGAGGTCGTTTATCGATCCTAAATCCTTTCAGAATCACATTTTCATGCGCCGGGACACGCGTCTTGGAACGTACAACAGTAAGACCACGCGATACACTTCGAACAAGATTACGGTATTCCCCCGTTACATGTCACTCGGATGGAAATTGAACGTTAACCCCTCTCTCACGTTTCGGAGGATCTGCTCGATCAAGCATCGTCGTAGAAAACATCGAAAAATCGACAAACGCGGGACCCAGATACCAGAAACACGGTACACCCTCTCTATTAGTCGCTAATCGAATCCGAGTCACCCTGTAACGCTAGAATACCACACACGGGAATAAACACAGCGACCGGTACCATCACGACGAGCACTGTTTCTCTGAAAACGTCGAAAGCACACTCGAAGTACAGCGAATATTTATAGAAACATCTCGACACTACTGATAGTAACTATATTACCAGCGCCGCGTGGATCACCTCTCGGGTCACGCGCAACCGAGTGACTGTCCCTTCGATATCCAGGCCTCGATCCACGTGGTAATGTATCTTGTACAGAAAACCGGTCGAAGCACTTGGTCTTCTAACGGGATTGGACGTCGAACACCTAATATCGGGACTCTAGCGATCCTTGCACCTGACGTGCGCGCCGCCTTGGTCTTGCTCCTCAGGTTCCGTCTCATCGGTTACAAAAATGGTGTATATCACACGAAGAAACACGGAAACGCCGACAACTTCTGGCAGATTCCATCCGTTTCTCCCTTTCCGTTCGTTGATGCGCAGGAGTGCGCGAAGAGGGACCGTCGTCTAGTGCCTTCAGCCTATCCAGGCCATTCCGTTGGCGTCTATCTCGTTTCAGTCAACGATGGAGTGGTCGAGAATGGGAATCGACGTGTTACCCGAAGGTTCTTTGGAGCTAGAGCGTCTCCAGAAGATTCTGCACCAGCATGGCCGGCGCAGTCACCCTGGCTTTACTCTTTCTTGGCTGTCTACAGGTACGTACGTTACAGCGGGGCGCCCGTTCTAGCTGCTCCGACTTGTTGCTGTCCTGCTCCAGTTGCACCGACACACTGGCGACACGCGGTGTCGAACAACCACCCTCCTGTAACAGACAATCCGACATGTTTGAGGGGGAGTGTTAGTCGTGACGTTTACCGGATCGGCGAGCGTACAACGCCGGAACACGCGTCAAGGGGAGAGGACCTCACCCCTGTCGAGGATGGCTAATCAGTCTCGCGCGGATCGACGCTTCTGGCTGAGTGATCGGGGGGAGACTTTGTGGTCGAAATTGCCTTTTGTTGTTTGGGGACTTGGTTGGTGATGTAGCTACCGTGGAACTTTTAGTTGTGGTAGATTTGTTTGTTTTGTATCGGGGATGATAAAGAAATTTGTTTGAACTGGAAGCTCTGGGTGGAGAGAAGCCCGGAAAGAATGATTGATGGAGTCGAGGAGGTTGGTAATGAAAAGTTTCGTTTGATTGATGGGAGATTAAATGGTGTTCAGATTAGAATATATTGGCTGCGTTTAGTGTCGTGGTATTGCTATACGTTTGAATAATTCGGCGACTCAGGAGTGGTCAATGTGTCTGACCATTGAGGGATAGTTCTACTTGGTATGGACAGTTATTGTGGTACGGTATGATTGGTCGTCTATCGGTCTGCATATGTTTACCGTAGCAATTTTTGTGGTTCTATTTTGGTCAACAGACGATACTGCAGTTTTGTTAATGGAATATTTATGGACAGTAACGGAATTAGAAATAAACTATACGGGAATGAAGGAACCGACAAGTTGTATTCAGTTCTAAATGTGTCAAACGGATTTTGAAAACTGAAGACTTAAAAAATCATCTCTCAAGTACGAAGACGTGCATATTTGTTAGAAATTTCTTGGTTGTTTTCAAACGAAGACTTATATCCCATTAATTATGTAACTTTCCAATGGAACAATTTCGGTCATCCGTACACACGATACTTTCCAATCTATTCAATGTCATCAACGCAGCGTGTATACGTCACTTTAAGTAACAATTAAAAAGAAGAACAATGAAAATAATACTGATCGAAAAACAGAAGTACGGTTAAAAGGAGGAAGCACCGTGGTCGCAGACGTCTCAGTTTTTACGAGTTGAACCTTTAACGACCGGAACGAGCTGTGCCGTGGGTACGGGGCCTGAATAGGAAACGAGAGTTCCGGGAAGAGACCAAGAGAAGCCGAATCTATTTAATTAGAATTATGGCGATACGACGTGACCGAAGAATCTCAATTAATCTTCGAAAGAGTGCAAGAGGCAGCCGGAATGGAACTGCAACCGGATCGTGGTATCTGGAGCTCGTCTATATCCCGGACTAATTTGTTCAATTACTTTTATCGCGGTATTTTCCACGAGAGGAAGTATCTAAAGACAAAATGAACCGAACCACACGGAAGAATAAGAGAAATTATTAAGTACCGAGGATCAAAGGTGCTCCGGAAACTTCGATGGAAGCATTAACGTTTGCGTATTTGACGTTTAATTTCTATCGTGTTCTATGAAACGCATAAAATATTTTAGCTGTAATGATATTTTTTTGGCAACAGAGACAAAAGTGTCTACCAGACAGTATTAGTGGATCATTGCAATTTCAAATATCATTACAGATTACATAAACGTAAGAACTAAGGAAATAAATAAATCGATTAAAGTTACTCACCGACAAGCAGAGATTCCCTTGATGCTGGTGTGCTCGACGACGTGATTCGCTCTGCAACTGCCACGCGCGTATGTAAAGGTCGCCCCGATATATGAGCCCACCCCGTTTCGCTCGTAGCATCAGGTGCCATCTGAAAAACGAACAAACAAATTCCATTTACCTCCGAACATCTCAAGTATATCGATAATTTCACCATTCCGCTAATAAACGACCGATAATCGTTATTATTCTAGAACAATCCGTTCCTCCCTCGAGACGATATTTATCTTCTCTAAGAACATCACCGACGCGTTTCGCCGTCATCAGTGTGATAAGAAACAAGCGTTTATCGTACGCTAGAAAATAAATTACTGGACGATCTCTCGGGTCATGCTCTCGCATTCGGTGTAATCGAGCTTCCGACAACGTCGCTGCGGGAAACGTTCGCGCACACCCCTACACTCGATAAAATAAATTCGTAAATGACATACCCCTTTTCACGCGTCACTTACGCGCGCAGTTCATTCCACGGGTCTCGGTTTTCGCGGCCGAACGGCGTGTTTACGAGGCGGAAAAGAGGGTGAATATCAGGATTCAATGGTGGAGATCCGAGGAGGGAGACGATCCTTTATCGTATCGTAGTTCGTGAGCGACACTCGCTAGAGACTGAAGAATAGAGTTCGGATTTTATGCATTTGTAGCACACACGATTCTGTAGAAGTCATTCTACTTCAAGGGGAACACCACTGTGAAACTTACAAAAAGATCGATTTCTTTTAAATGCAATTTCTTGAAGTTTAACTTTTCAAACCCACTATTCGAAAATTTCAAATCCATATTCAAAGAATTTACGAAGATACAGTGCATTTGGATTACATAAATAAAGAGACTGGGTGCGAACGACGGAAGTACGCGAGGTTTATTGTCACTCGACGCGAGGGCAGCGTCTGGTGACGTTCCATCGAGGGAAAATTAACAGGGGGAATAGTCAGAAACGAGCAATTATCTGACGTCGACGTTCACGAGATGCCGCGTGAACGGAGAAAGATGCAAAAGAATAAACGGGGAGAACACGGAACCATCGCCTTTTATTTCGTTCATGAAGCTGCGAACAGTCGAGCGCTCGCTAGAGCAAGGAATCCTCTCCATCCTGGAGGAAATTCCGAGGGTGATGGAAACTATCGCAGCCAGCCACCATCCCGGGAGCCATGCGCAAATATTCTTGAGATGCGTTTAAGCAAAGACGTTCCGTGAAATTTTCCTTGAAGCGGCGGGAATTTTATACCCCCCACACCCCGCCTTTGTCGTCGCGTTCTCCGGTCGTATTGGTACGAAATTATTTCGACTATTCCTCGCGCAACCCTAACTACTCGAGGTGCCATTGGTATAATCAATTCGGAGAATTGAAGCAAGTTTGTCGTGTTCATTTAAGAGAATCCTACTGAAAATTATTTCACCAAAAATAGCGAATTTAATAGACCTATTGACTGTTGAACGAACCTTATTAGATCATTCATTTCACGATTATGTACCGTCTCTGTTGATATTGGATTTTAGTGTTTAACTTTATTTATCATAACGTGGAGAATCCTATTTGCAATTAGGCTGGCATTTCTGTCTCCTGGCACAACATAAAAAAATGTATTTCCCTTTCCTACCCTTCTCCTCGTTGCTTTTAAATAACAACCTTTCGATTTAGGGTACAGGACTCACATCATTCTATCTCTGTATCAGGGAAACCGTTTTCCTAAGGCAATTTATTTCAAGCAAACGAAATTAAAAGATCTTCCTGTAAGAAATCTGCTAGCCAAATAATTTCGTCGCTCACGAGCAAGACCCCGAATTGCCCGCGTCTGGGCGCTGCTTGTTCCGCCATTCCGCGCGTTTTCTCCTACAGCGACAGCGAAATGGAGGTCGACCTCTGCAACTCGAATATTACCGGACCGACTTTCCATTCTCTGGACCGAACATTCGAGCCCCGAACTAGAAATTAAATATTGTTAACGTGCTACGGAGTGAACAGTTGGGGGTGGGGGTGGTTCAGCGTCCGGTTCGGGCGTTTACGCGAAATAAACTCCGTTCGAACGGTGGTCATAACGAAGTGGTAACGCAGAGCTAGCCCCGGTGATATCGGCCATTTGCTAGTGCGCCGATAGACCGGATGAAACACGGTGCTCCATGAATTATAAAATCGCCATTTAGCGGGAAAGATAAAGGCCGTTTTGGCTGTGGTAAAAGGAGGAGCGAGCGAGAGAATAGACGGGGAGAAAAAGGGAGAAAGAGGAAGGAGTTGAGGGTAGGAAAAAGCAGATAAATGATGAGAGAACGAAAGATAGAAGGAGAGGGAATGGAAATAGGTAAAGGGTGAGGGTGGAATTGGGGAAAGAAAAGTGAATTATTCTTGTTTTCAAATGTATTCAAAAATTCCATTATATAAACTGAGCGTCTCTTCAATAAAAATGTTTGTGTTCTACTGTAGAATATATTCGTAGCGAATGGCGGTATTTTTTCCCCCGTCTCGGGGATGCATGGTTTTCCAGGAATATGTGCTTTTCCAAAAATCTCACACGGGAGGTGCACACGCGAATCCGGGAGTCGACGAGTTGAAAATACAGAAACGGAGGTAGCGTCAGTAAATTCCCGATTTATCAGCTCGACGAGCGCTTAACGCAACGGTGACGACGTTATCGTTGTCTATGGAATCATCCCCTACCCTGCCCCCACCACCCTTACGCCAGTGGCTTTCCCTCGGGAATTTATATGTTCGAAAAACGCCAGGCATAAAGAGGACGCGCCATTCGTCCTATCTGAAACGCGCCGCGCTAAAACCCTCGTATCCAAATAAATTCCGAAATTCATATCTCTCATTTGAATTACTAAATTCATCATGGAAATTGTGCTACCGATTATTCCGTAACGCGTATTACATTTTCGTAATTTAATCCCCCTTTTTCCGTGCTCGCTACATCCGTCGGTAATTGACGGCAGCCTCGATATTACCATTTCCAACGTATCCCTTTCCAAATTAGAAATAAACGCACAGGATCTCTCATAATTGGCGGTACGGGTTCATAGAACTTTGTATCGCAGCCAGCGAAGAAAAGTGCCACAGGTAAAAAATTTTCAAAGTTCATTTTATCGCGTGAAATGTCTTCTATTACGTACATCCACCAACCAGAAATACACCGTGTGTTGAAGTGCCCAGTACTTTAAGCGTGATGGCACTAGGGCAACTTTAGTTAACACTTTACTTAGGTAGATTATTAATAAACTCCTAAGTTTCAATGCTTATAGATAAGAAGCCTATTATGTTATTCTTATATCAGGGTTAAAAAAGGAATTATTACGTTATGCTATTGGAGTTCCTGCTATTTTCCATGACTGTAATTTTTTACTGTGATTGAACCATTGAATATTAGTTCTCTGGCTGTTAATCGTTGGATCTACTGAAACTATTAAACAGCATCCGGTAGGTAATATGTTAAATATATCCTCTCAATTTGCAGATTGTAATGATGACAAACGAAGGTTATAATTAAAAATAAATTGTCGAAAACAAGATAATTTTCTAAAATAACAGTTTCATCGTAAAAAGAATTTCGGGAGAATGTAGCTTCGTCCCGATCGATGAGTATTGTTACGTGTGAACCAACGATTGCGGTAGCCGTTCGTTACAATCACTCCACCTCATTCAATCCCTCCGTCTTCAATCAGAACCACCAGATTCGGGATTAAATCAAGAATACCGAAAAAGCACTGTATACAAACGATCGTCAATTCGGGAGTTACATTGTACTTCGGCCGCGGTTGACGCCACCCCACCCCCGTCGAGCGGTCATTTTTCGGCTAGCAGAAAAAGGGATTGTGTTTATAGAAAAAAACTCGGCAGCTGCCCAATATTTTTATCCGTGCCGCGGTGCTTTATCCGTCGAAAAGTAAGCGAAGCACAGCGAACGTTCGCTGTCAGTTTTTCAAAGCGAATGAAAACACATCGATTGGAAGTCGCTAATGCTCGATAATTCTCTGGTGGCTATGGGAAACCGTTCCCTTGTCTGGCGAATAGCGGATAATGCGTGCCGTCTATACTTCCAGTCGTTTGTAGGTACATTATGTAATTTTATTCCCCCCACCACCCATTCCCTCACTCAGTTCGCAACGCATTAGTTCGACGTGGAATTCTGATTGAAAACGAACGCTTTTGATCGGTTATTTAAATAACATCGACTATAATAGACGATAATGCCTCTGGTTGGGCGACGCAACTATAAAACTCACCGTCCATAAATCGCGCAGAATATATACACAGACACATGCGCGCTAGGAACGAAAGTTATACTACCTGCGTGGAATTGTTCCGCGTTCCCCTGTGCCAGTTTGGTTCACGTACATTCCGGTCGGAAATTAAATAACTGGATTGTTAATATATCGTATCATTGAACGGAAACCGACCGTGAATTAAAATGTTTTAACGTACCATTAACGCGAAAATTTTCCGAATCCCCGGGGCGAGACTCGTCCGCTCGTGGAATTTAAGCGATTGTTGAGCGGAGGACTTAAATATCCCAGTAATGGAACTTCCGTTGATATGAGAAAGCAAGTGTTTCTGCCCTATATTTATACAGGGAGTAACAAAAATGTTGTAGGCCCCTGAAATTGATCACTCGTGAGGTGATTTGGAACAAGTTTTTCCTGTAGATACAGCGCGACTCTACAGGCCGAGCTCTGATTGTTCGGGCTTCTTCCGTTAATATCTCGTTAACAAAGCCTCGAATAACATTTTTTCTAAGCAAAAACATGTTCCAAATCATCTCAAGAGTGATCCATTTTGGGGACCTACGCCACTTTTGTTACACGCTGTACATTAAGATCATTTTGCTCTGTATGTAATTAGAATAGAATTGAGCAAATGAAGAAAATGAAGTTAACGATGTGGGACACGGTTTAAAGTTGAAAGCGTGCTTTCGCGATTGAAACGCGATTGGAAATTCGAAAACCAATCGACGGGAACCGTGAATGATTTTGGAGAGAGTAATTCGACACTGATGCTACTACTGTAAAGTCGAAAGCAACGCGATGGCGTATCGAACAACCGAGAAAAATAAATAAACCGTAAAAATCTCCGCGTGTCGCCGAGTTTGCGTGAATCCGCGCTGCTGTTAAAGTTGCACGCCACCATTACGAGCGTTCAGAAAGCCCAGTAGCGAGGTAAAAATGTTTTATATTTATACGAATGAATTTTTAATTACATTCGCCTGAATAATATTTTCTCCGTGTATTTATACAGCAGTGTAGACATGAAAGGCATCACACAGGTTCTACATGGTTTGTTTATGATAAGCGAATGTAATTAGTAGACGGCGGATTTTTATACAAAATTACATTTTCTAAAGTAATAGATGAAGATAGGAGCAAATGTAGAAATTTATTTTTCCTCTTAAGTATCTCATTTGCTTCAGAATAAAATATAAATCTTGTTGGATCCGATAAAAATTTTGTCTTTTCGTGTCGTTGCCTTTCTCATTTATTATTTCCGAAAGTGCGTTTTCAAAAACAACAATTTCATCGAAGGTTTATAAGAAACAAAAGAAATTCTATAGATTCATTGTGACTTTATATTGACTCTAAACGTTAAATATTAATATCCAGCAGAATTATATTTTCTTTCAATTACCATCCATATTTATTAAACTTACATATTTTTCACCTCAACTCCGACCAGTTATTAGAAAGCGAGGGGGTTGAATTTAAGTAAAATCCACCGAAGAATTCCGCGAAAACACCATTCAAATGACACGCGAATTCCTTTCGCGCCTACTCACCGATTGCCCGACACAATTCGCGGCCGATTCATTCGGCGGCCGGTGATTTGTATTATATACAAAGTCGAGGGGAAAGGGGCAGGGACGTGGGGTTGATGGTTAAACGTTGGCCAGTTCTGCAGTTCTTCTGTTGAATAATTCATGCGTTACTGAATAATTCATAAGTCGAATGTACTGAAGGGATGAACAATGAAACGCTCGAAAATGCTGTGTAAGATTTGACAAATTTATCGCTTTATGGTTTATTTACAAGCGTGTCGGCGCGCGCGGGGCCCCTGCTATAAGCGCAATCCACTTAAACAGCGAATCAATATTTTCCAGAGTGTGAGGGAGGCGGGTGGGTGGTCGCCGTGCACGGGCTCACGCAGAAATAAATAAACGCGAGGGCGGAGGGGGCTCTATGGTATTTTATTGTTATTACGCCGTGGCACGGTGTGCACGCAGATGCTGCTCGACGATTGTGTCGCGGGCTATTTTTAAATCGACGGGATGAATAATTGATTCCCGCGCCGTGACGCGGCTCGAATTTTCTACTGCCAGTTTAATATAGTGCGGCGAAGAAATTAGCGCTTAATAGTCTATATTTAAGGAATTAACGTTCGCGAGTTACCCCATTTAAATGATGGGAAAGCTATTGATTAAGTGAAGTGGCGATTAGTATGAATTGGAGCAGCCGTGGACTCTCGGTGATACTTTTTTTTAACAAATCCAATCTTCTTTGAAATAACCGTCATTGAAAAGAAGATTGAATATTCTATGAAATTAATACAATCAACGTCACGTCGTTTTTTTATAGAGGACACTAATGTTACGGTTGTTTTAAAGGTAATTCCAGAAAATGGCCGGCAGAAATTTCCAAATCAAATGTCCATCGAGAAATCTTCTTCAAGGTCGCCAAACGAAATGGAGGAATCCGTAATCCCTTTTCGTTTCGCTGGTACACGTTCGTTGGGCTCGTTCAGACGGAAAAAATCTCGTAACGAACCCAGGGCCATCAACTCGGCGCAAACTACATGCGACGCGGTCCCTCTAAATAGAGACCCGCGGCAGCGGAAAACAAAGAGGGTAACTATTGTAATTACTCCGTTCGCCGCCTCCACGAAAACACACGAGCGCGCAGAAGTACCGAGAAACCGTACCCACCATTCCACCCGCTCTGTACTTTCGCTGGCTGCCGGGGCGGGAATGCAGCCGCTTCTCGCACCCTTTCCACCCCATCCGCCAACCCTGACCGCACTATTTCTCATACTGATTGCGGTCTGCACGGTGGAGTCATATTTGCATTTAAAAACTGCACCGCGTGGCACATCTGTCGAACGGTGTATATCGAAGCCTTTGCATTCTAACTACAGATCGACATATCCACTGCACCCTCTTCTAACGCCATTGTACATTATATTGTTTTCAAACATTTTACTCTGCCGATTCGAACTGTTGACTTCACCGAGTAGGCATAGATTAACACTAAAACTACCAGCGTTGAATGGATAAAAAATTAAATTTCATAATATATTAATATTTATACTATATGATATAGTATAGCATAATAGAGTGTAATGTAGAATATACAATGAATTAAATGTCCGCATAAATATCGACGAAAGCACTTTTCCCGGTTTGGTAGATCTAGTGTTAATTGTTTAGTCGACCAAAATATTATTCGAACGATGGAAACGATTTTTCTAAATTGTTTTCCTAACCCTTTACTAGTAGTATTTCGACGATAAACGCTTTGTGAGTTTAGATCCACTCCTGCGGTGGTGATGGAAACGAACTCATTATTTCCCCTTTGTCTGATTATTTCCACTTCATTCCCCTTAATTTTCCCATTTGTCAAACGCATGAGCTAATGCGGAATACATGAGTTATGGCAGACAGAAAGGTTCATTGGCTGTGACAGTAGTTTATACAGAATGCATATACAGGGTGAGTCAATAAGAACTACTATCTAAAATAACTCGTTACCTATAGATATAAAATTCACCCTAATATCTCAAAACATCAAATTGTATCGATCCGATGCGTCCTTCAAAATTCATTAGAACGTTTTCTAATACAATCAACACATAAAGAGTTGTTCTATATGTTTACGAAATATTTAATGTTCAGTGCTGAGTAGCCTTCGAACACTCATCAAGGATTTAGTGTATTTAACTCTCGAAGGATAATTACGATTATCGTCATGTTCAGTCAAGAATCGAAGCAATTTACACGGCATCACAGATATCACATCGTAATATGCACGGCCGCGGCGCGAGGCTTATCCGGCCGCGGGATCAAACTATAATTTCGGCCCAGAAAGAAAGAATTGATTTTACGGCGGTGTACGTTCGTGGCGCGGCTGCAACTACCAGCCGCGAACGCCGGCTGCAAAAACAACGCGAATCGTCGCCGACAAATTTACCGTGGCTGTTTTTATAGACGGTATTTGCACCGCGGGGGACGCGAGAGAATTACAGCGCTAGGATGCGTGGGGTAAAATGGGGGGTGGAAGGACGATCGGGTGAAAACACAAGAGCCAGCTGTATGGGGTGAGTTCGTGGTCCAGCCATACTGAATAACCGCCCTCATAATCCATGCGAATGTATAGATCTGCTTTCGGAGGCTGGCAGATACGCAATAGATTGCCAATCGTGAAATTGAAATGAAATGTTCGCGTAAAAAATATGGATAATATATGCGTGGCAGGTGCAGGTTTGGATCAATCTGAGTATTGATTGACAGTAGAGTAATCTAGGTGTAATTGAAATCGAGAATCCTTAGGTAACAGAATAATAAAATGAAAACTATTCGAAGGTAATCATCTACAACCAAGCGTCGTACAGAAAATGTTCTCGAGTTTTAGACGATTTTCACTGTACATTCTAATATTCATACAATATTTCAAGAAATTCAGTCATTTTTATTAACGGGAAAACATAGTCCACTAGACATCAGGGTGCTAAACAAATTACAAAATATTCTTTTGTGGTTCGATTTAAAAGCGAGAACCGATTCCCTCCGTTTCGATTTTGATTCGATGAAACAATAGATCTACAATAGTTCGGTAGCTCACCTTGTGATGAGTTGATGCACCCTCGGCCATTGACCCCGCGACCTCAGTATCCTGACAGTTCCAAGAAGCGACGCCCTGTGGGATGGCGACACCTCCATGGCTTTCAGATAGTACTTCAGAGATGGTAGCCATTTGCCTGAAAACACAAAGGACGATTCGCAGTGAGTATAATGCCGCGACCGTATCGCTGGTCTGTCTCGTTTCGGTGTTCCGTCCGTTGTTTTGGCTACTTTGAACTACTATAAACCAATTGAAGCAATTTTGTCGTTTGAACGATGTCGCTTACCGTTTTGGTACAACCAGGAAGCATACTCCGCGAGATGGTCAGGACTTCTGGGCTGCAGTCGGACAACGTGTCTGAGAAGCGCACCAGCCGCTGGTCCTGTCGCCAATCGCGCCAGAACTAAATACGCGGGCGTATACGCCGGGTCCAACGACACGCATTTCTGCAGCATCCGTATGCATTCCTCTGTCCTGTTCGTTTTCCTGAAATCAAAAATCGATTTTCCTGTCAGTTACGTTCCTGGTAGAGCTCAATATTCGTCTGGGATAGCCACAATTTTGGTGAATTTGGTCGCTTATTTAATTCCTGTCAACAGGTTGACTGCCACAGTGAAAAAGGTCGTACGTAGCCAGACAGTTTATTTGGTTTTATTAAGTCATTAAAACATTTTGTTTCCATGTTTGTTAACTATATTATCCTGATAAATCTCTACAGTAGTAATATACAATAGTAGTAGTGATGTAATATGTTTCATTAAGAAGATGGTAATAGAAATTTTAAGTATTCAAGATCACGTTTCAAGTCCATTACGTTACAGTATATCTTATGGTTCGATTTTTTCCTATTTGTCCGTAACAAAACAAAGTTTGATAACATCGATAGTACCACCGACAACATCAGAAAAAAACAGTTACACCAAAATGCACTTTCCATTCCGCACGATGTAACCGTTTAATGGTAACGGAAGTTGGTTTCATCGCGGATCCAAGTGATCCAATTCGTGGCGCATCCCCGGCTGACAGGGCTCGTAACACGTGTAACAGAGATTTCACGAGGAAATTCCTTCGTCGGGAGAAGTTGAAAAATTTATGGCCCAATGTTTCGCCCGCGGCACGCGTTGAACGAAACGAAAATTCTACGGTACACCGTCGAGCAGTTGGCAGGCTGGCGGGCGCTCACGCACGCTTCGTTCCTCCCGTCAATTAAACTTTAATTTATCAAGCAGCAGGCGTTAATTAAACTTTAATTTTAACCACGCCACCAGAATTACCTTGCCACGCTAAATTTATCGCGGCGCATGCACTTCGGTCTACCTCGATACACCATTAATAAAATGGGACGGCGGCGGGATTCGGGATTCTTCCGGCAACTATGTTTACTCCGCGTGACGGGGACTCCATTAGTCGTCTGTGTATACGTAATCCCTGTACAACGTCGTTGGTCGTGTGTCGGGTTCTTTCATTATTATCGCACGAAATGCACAAATCAACGTTTTCGAGCGACTTTAAAAAAAATGATAAACCGCGTGGAGAAAATATTACATTCGATTTTATGGAACGTCAAAAAATTTAAATATTAGATATGAAAAGAACTTCCATCGTATTCGTGGCTCTTGTGTGAGTTATGTAAAATGTATTTAATGTTGTAAATATTCGACATTTTGTTATTAAAGCATTAGTGAAACAATGACAGAACTTCCGACCTGGACTCAATATTATCTACAAACTAGTACTTTCAGGCACGATTATTTGTATAAAAGTTGATTGTAACATCTAGAATTACGTATTTACAGACCTGTAAAGTTGGCCAAGGTTATAATGCGCGTTCACGTGTCCCGGTTGAGCTTTAATCGCTGCCAAAAAGTGTTGCTCCGCTTGGTCGCCCATCGTCAGCGTGCCGAGGTTGTTATGCGCACTGGCGTACGTTGGCCATAGCCTGTAATTAAATAAACACCGCTTATTTACAAAGTGATTAACGATATACGTGGAACTGGCCGTATTATCGCACTATTTATCGCTACTGTTATACTGGTTCGTAGTAACGTAATGCATGCACCTGCTCATATATTAATTTGACAATCGAGACGGTGACAAAGAAACCCATTGTCTCTGACCATTCAATCATAATATAATTATTAGACTGCGATTTTATGCACCTATAGTCTATAGGGATCAAAGACGAAACTTTCATCAAGCACAACGAGTTTTCCATTTCATTCTGAACCCAATAAGATACTTAAGGGAAGAACAAAAATTTTTATATTTGCTCTTGTGTTTATAAATTACATTAGAAAATGTCATTTTCAGATTCTTACAAACGAATCCAAGGTCGCCTATATCACCACCATCAAACATTTTCTGCACTCCCCAATCTCCCTCAGTACCCAATTACCCACGTACCCCATATCCACAGAATTATCTTTATAACAATTTCCTCTTATCTACCCGCGGACTGGCACGACCACTAAACAATTCTGAATCTGCAGAATTAATCGCCTTTGGGACACTCGATAAAATCATGCTCCCCTATACGAGCGTGTTTCAAGCGCGCCGTGTCCGTTGTTCGGCCAGGTAATTTGTGAATAGCGTCAGAACACTATTTTCAGCCGGTGCATTGTTGCAGCGAGTTAATTAAGCCCGGCTATGGCGCGGGGACGCCTATACGCGTCGAATCTACGAACTGGCTAACGAGCCGCGACTATCAACCGGGGGTCAATAAGGGGTAAACTCCCCTATCACGAGCATCCGGAGGTTTTCGCTGACGCGTCTCGCGTCAGATTGCTTCGAGTGGCGCCGCGTCGCAGAAGGGAACGCCTCGAGGACACGGCAGAGACCGAGAGGGAATGAATCCCGTGACAGTGACAAACCGCCACGGTGAACGTCGTTTCGCTGGGAACTTCGTAGACGAGGATTTAAGGATTACACGCGTGCACACGGTGGCGGAATAAAAGAACGTCGAGCGTTCCGAGAGCAGGTAAATTGGGTAATTCCTACGGGCGAAACAGTTCGCGTCCGTCTCTTCGGCCGGAAATTACATACCGCGACAGTTCTCTCTCTCTCTCTGACTGTTTCGGTGGTCTTCTAATGGTCGCTGGTGGCGGTTTATAATAAATTATAAAAATAGTCCATATTGATCGGCTTAAAGGCATAGAACCAACAATCAATTTCTCCACTATTATTTGCCAAATATATTAGTCACGTACTATTTGCCATTGTTCTTCGGCTTCGTTTGTACAGGCATCGTCTCTTCAACGAGAGTTAAATTAAACCGATCCCCGACGAGAAAGCGTGATTACATAACGAACTGGTCCAAAATGAGTCCTCTTTAAATCACCGCCAGGACTTCCAAGATTCAAACGATTTTACGCACGCCCGCGCGCTCGTGCTGCCAGCCGACATGAAACTTCTGCCCCGCGGTGTACGTCTAAATTGCTTCTAAGCATGAAACTCTGTACTTAATAAAATGTCATTCGCACCCTTTCGGCCCGCTGCCACGCAGTCAGCTACAGCGCCCGCGCTTTCGTACCCTGAAAACGGGGCTTCACGTATTCGGAATCCGCTGTTTCTACTGCCTGGAACAGGGAAATCTGGCTGGTGAACGACTGTATTAACGGGATTGTAAAACCGAAGTGTAAATTATTTCGAGTTCGTTAGTCATCGTGTCAGGATTGTTGCCATTGGTGGAGAAATGACGATGACATGCAGTTTCGGTTGATAGACCACCGTCCATGATTGAATTCTATTGATAGATAAGCCTAACAGGAGAATCGGCGTCTGATTCTTTTTATACGAGTAGAGGAATAATTAAAAATAGCTATATGTACCAACTCTCTTAATAATTCACGTTGATTCTAGGTCAAGAGAAAATTCTCAGAAAAGGACATGACAGAAAATTCAATTCGTTTCAGTTCCCTTTCTGTAATCACGCTTTGTCGACCTCCTTGTAATCACAACGTCATCCACGCCACATTATGCCGCTGACTTACAGTCGGCCATTCTTCTCCCCTGCCGACGATGACAGAAAGAAACGCAATCGCTGCCGTTTCACTCAACAATTTCCAACGACTCACGCACCCAAGAATAATACCACGTAACTAAAAGCACAAATAAATCACCAGAAAAAAAAAGAAGAGAGAACCCAGCGTTCAAATGTTAATATCCGAACAGAGCATCGGGCAGCTATAAATCCATCCCCGATTTCCTCAATATTTATTCACGACCGGCTCAAATACTCCAGCAACGAAACGTAACCGATGAAATAACCCGATCAAATATTCAAAAACCAGCTCCGATCAATTAAACCTTAACAGGACCCAAGCACACGACCAGAGACCGAGAAAATCTCGACGGAACTTGTATAAATTATTTTTCATCCAGCCACGTGCGTGATAAATTCACGTCAAAAAATATGCTCCACGGATCGAAAATATGTATTTCATCGGGAAATCAATATTTGTACCCGGGCTACTTAAATATAGATGAAACACCCACTCGGCGCGAAAGCAGAAAAAGACACGCTCGCGTCGAATAAAACGGATTCGTTGCGGGAGGGTGAACATGCATCACACACTGCGATAGAACGCCAGGGCCCTGGATTATACTCCGACGATGTCGTTGCCGATTCACTCGCTACGGATTTTCCGTTCTGTCCCCTTCATTTTATCCGCTTTCTTCATTCCGGCCTGTAACTCCCGCGACGGATCCCATCTCCGTATTTTTCGTCGATCTCGACGGCCTCTTATTGAGCCTCAGACGACCCACGCGAACCAGTTGCGCCGTTACGAGCAAAACTCGAGGGATATCCGTTTCCCCGTGAATCGTATTCCTCCGTTCCTCTTCGTCTCTAATATTCGCCCTGGCGTGTCGCGACCGCCCTCTTTAATATCGAGCCATTTGGACGTGGAATCCTAGGACCGAAGTCAATTTGCTGTTACAGATGTCACGCTACGGGGGATACACGACGGTGGAGAAAGCGTTACAGAGACGTAACGATGGTTTTTTGTTTCTTTTTACTTGAACCACCGACCGCAAGATGGTTCTGAAACCTGGTTCGCCTGACGACAGATGTTACCGTGTTAAACGGTGAGGATTTCGAGACCGTCTGCGTGGAGTTCCTGAACGGAAATTGCGTGAGGAATGGAGTTAGGGGGTTGATTTAATTGGTGAGAGAATGTCTGGGATCGTGGACCACTTTTTTCACCTGAGATTGAGTGTGCGAGGTGAGAGAATTTATGGTAGGTACCGTAATGGTGGATTCGGTTGGTTGCAGCACGGGGAAGACGTTATTTCTTCGAGGATAAAGAAGATATTTATGATCGTATGAAACACAGATTATATTTAGTACTATGTATAGTTACCGCATGGACTGGTTGTGGAAATCGTTTGATAATTATTTTCGTTTCATTTATTGTATACATACAGAGGAGTATTCTATAGAATAGAGGACTATATGAAATGCAATAGAAAATTGAACTTGGTTTAATATATTTTTGAATTTATTTTTAATCGAACAAACAACCTTAGATGGAAAAGAAGTTTGTGTTTGTAGTTTTATCTTCGTAAATTGCTTCGTGAAATGTTACCTCGAGTAAAGATTTGCAGTTAAAATATGTGGTATATAGAGTGTCCCAGTAGAGATGGTACAACCGGGGAGGGAGTGATTCTACATGAGAAAGTAAGTCGAAAATATGGAACAAATTTTTTTCATTTGATCCTTTGTTTTCGAAAAAATTGACTATGTCTTCGTTATTCCTCTTAATCATCCAATTCCAAACCCTTAAATGTTTAATACAAAAAATATTTTGTACAAGCTATTACAAAAATAGAAAAGAACTGAAACGTTGGTACGATTAATAACGCCGCCAGTCAGATCGCGGCAAAATCCGTTAACATTATCAGCGAAATTAATCTAAAACCAAACCTTCCTGGACGCCATTGTAACAGGATAAACGTCGCGATAAGCACGCCACTGATTATACACCTGTCCGTGATATAAAACAATCCCCTCGTACGGCGGCGAGATATTACATTTTCAGCGGTGGAAACGTCGATGGTGGTGAAATACGTCCGCATTAAATCACGGAATTCAAGCTTTCTTCCTCCGTATCAGCGGTTTAGAATTCTATCAATGATTTCGAGAGCGATGTAAGCATTTTCTCTTCACTCAATTTTCTTAATCGTACGCGACGTCCCACGATTTCGCTTCCGGACCACCTGAAACGTCACCACGGAATCGTGTAGCACGAATACGTGAAAGGGGAGAAACGAGTTTCTACGGACACGGTGCGTGAAGCACGAAACGAAGTTCGTGCTTATCACATTACAGGGGTGGGAACCTGCCCGGTCGAGGCGGACCCCCCTTTTCGACGTCTCAAAATGGAGATACTCGTCTCAGCGATGTCACCTCTCCCCGATGCATGTACTCCGCGAAAAGAGGATTCCTCGGAAACACGTTGCTCTTCCCGTGGATAAAACGCAATCCCTGGAAATGCTAAGAAAACGTGCAGGGTGGTACACGCGATGGAACCTGATGGAAGGTTGAATCCACGAATTGCACCCTCGGGCGGAGTTTTACCGAGAAAGCTATGCGTCAATCGTGGTCGCAAGGAAAGAACAACGATAAAAATTCAATTACGGCATATTCGTATTTTTCGCTTGTTTTGTTCGATTGTTAAGTGAAAGAATAAATTTGCTGAACTTAGCACAGTTATGTATTTAATCACAATATTCTTAATGACAACTGTACTTATTTACAAGTAAGTAATACGAATTTTATCGAGTATATTTTAAATGCCGATCAGTGGACGGTGGCACGATGGGATTGCAGCAAACAGTTTAAATTAACGGAATCTTTGATTTCGAATTTGTTTGAAAGACTTCCTTAATAAGTTCAATCAGAGACGACTAAGTACATTTCAACTGAAAATTCTAAATAAA